GACGTTCAAGGTTGAACGCCGCCGGCGACCCAGAATCGATCGATGTTGAACGATCGGACGTTGCGGCAGCGGCCGATCGTTCAAGGTTGAACGATCCCCGCGGTGTCAACAACCAGCGCCGAAGTCGGCACGACACGAACCTGCCGTAGCCCCTGAGTCGGTCCTGACGTTGCTGCCCCTCGACGTGGGGCGCTTTGCCCTCGCCTGCAAGGGTTCGAAGGGCTGGGGGGGGCAGGCTGTCGCTGTCGGGGGCCCCGCTGCCGGAGGGTGCTGGTCCGAGGGGGAAAGGACACCGACACCGATGCCCTTTCGTCGAAAGCCCTCGACGTCACGCCTGGATTCGCCGCGGGATCCTAGTTAGAACGCGTTCCGCGAAATGTCCAGGGAGCAGCGGTACTGGAAATCAACTATTTGTTGGGGGCAGCGCGGCGGCGTTGGCACGCTTGGCAGCGCGACGCACCGCGCAGCTTCAAAAAGGGTTCCAGGCTGAGCCTTTGGGGGGTGTCGAGCGCTCGCGGCGGCGCACGCGATCGCAGGCTGGGCTGGGCATCTCTTCCCCCGTCTCTTGACAGCCCGAAGTGGATCCGTACCCGTCAAAAGGGTATCACCTTCTCTTGTAGACGTTCTTTATGGACCGCCAAAGTTTCTCAGGGAACATCCCCAACATTGTCAGCGCCTCGGGCGAGTTAACCTTAGGGATAGGGGTGAGCTCGGTGCAGAACACTTTGCCTCCTCCAAGGTTTCCCCTGATCCTATTAGAACCATTCGGAACTTCCTAGCCCCCCCCTTCCCTCCCTTCTACCTTCCCCTCCTCCTGCCTCATGCCTCCCGCCTCTCCTCCTCCACATGCTTCTTCTTCTTCTTCTTATTCTTCTTCTTCTTCTTCTTCTTCTTCTTCCTCCTCCTCCTCCTCCTCCTCCTCCTCCTCCTGCTCCTCCTCCTGCTCCTTCTCCTGCTCCTCCTCCCCTCCTCCTCCCCCGTCGCCCTCCTCCCCTTCCTCCCCTTCCCTCCTCCCGATCTGTCCTATGGGCCGCCGCCCTGCGAGGCTCGCTGGGCCCTGGCTCACTGCTCGGCGTCTTGCTGGTGGTCACCGCGGCGCTTGGGGAGGAAATCAGGATGGCTCGACTGGACCAGAGGAGGACGAAGAGGAGGAGAAGGAGGCTGGAGGAGGAGGAGGAGGAGGAGGAGGAGGAGGAGGAAACTGAGAAGGAGGAAGAGGAGGAGCAGGAGAAGGAGGAGAAGGAGGAGGAGGGCCATCGAGCATGGATTAGCCTGTCTCCGAGGTTGCAGGTCCGAGGAGGAGGAGGAGGAGGAGGAGGAGGAGAAGGCGGGGGAAGAGAAGGCGGAGGAGGAGAAGGATGAGGAGGAGAACTGATGATGATGATGATGATGATGATGATGATGATGATGATGATGATGATAATGATGATGATGATGATGATGATGATGATGATGGTGATGATGATGATGATGATGATGATGAGGATGAGGATGAGGATGAGGATGAGGATGATGATGATGATGATGATGATGATGCTGGTAGTGGTGACGATGATGATGACGACGAGACTGATGTGATGATGATGATGATGCTGGTGATGAGGATGAGGAAGATGATGATGATGCTGATGAGGATCATGATGACGAACATGGTGATGCTGATGAGGATGCTGACGATGCTGATGATGGTGGTGATGATGCTGACGATGCCGATGAGGATGAGGATGAGGATGCTGCTGATGATGATGCTGATGATGATGACGAGGATGATGGTGATGTTGATAATGATGATGAGGATGATGATGGTTATGATGATGCTGTCGATCTTGATGTTGCTGATGCTGATGCTGATGCTGATGCTGATGATGATGGTTATGATGATGATGATGCTGATGCTGATGCTGATGATGATGATGATGATGATGATGATGATGATGATGATGATGATGATGATGATGATGATGATGATGATGATGATGATTATGATGGTGATGGTGATGATGATGATGATGAATCATGCGGATGCTGATGCGGATGCGGATGATGATAATGCTGCTGATGATGATGACGATGATGATGGTCATGATGCTGATGATGATGGTGGGTGATGATAGTGATGATGATGATGATGATGATGCTGATGCTGATGCTGATGCTTATGCTGATGATGCTGATTATGTTGATGACGGCGATGATGGTGGTGATGATGATGATGATGAGGATGGTGATGATGATGTTGATGATGATGATGATGATGATGATGATGATGATGATGATGATGATGATGAGGAGGATGATGCGTATGATGAGGATGAGGATGATCATGAAGATGATGATGGTGAGGAGGAGGAAGAGCAGGAGGAGGAGGAGCAAGATGAGGATGAGGGGGAGTGAAGAGGAGGAGGAGGAAGATGAGGAGGAGGAGGAGGAGGACAAGCGAAGCAAAGCCAAGCAATGCCAAGCACTGCGCCCATGGAAAGAGGAAGCTTCCCCCTAATTGGGGCCGCGCCGGGTTCATTTTAAAAGGTGTCCAGTGGGGTCTCCGCCCGACCCGCCGGCCACCGGGAAAGCCCAGAAAGGAACGGTACACTTGGGAGGCAGAGCCTACATCGTTTCCAAGACGGCGAAGGTCACCCCAAGGTGGCCAAAGATGTTTTTCGAGACGACCCAAGAGGCCCCCAAGACGCCCCAAGAGGGCTCCAAGAGACCTCAGGCGACCTGAATCATAGATTTGCCCATCGGCTGTTCAATGATTTATAATTCGCCGTCTCGGGCTTCCAACGCTCCAAGACGGCCTCGTAGGCACCTAAGATCGCCCGAAGACGGCCTAAGAGGTCCCTAAAAGGCCCGCAGGATTGCCCAAGAGGGCCCCAAGACGGCCCCAAAGATGGCCCCATAGACCTCCAAGATGGCCCTCAAGCGCCCACAAAGGGACCCACGACTGCCAAGAGAGAGCCCCAAGATGGCCTCTGAAAGCGAAGAGGTCCCTTGGAAGTCCCCAGAGGCCCCCAGGAGGCCCCCAGGAGGCCGCAGGAGGCCCCCAAGAGCCAGGAGACTCCCAAGAGGCTCCCAGGAAGCCCCCAGCAGACCCCAAGACGGCCTCACGAGGCCTCCCTTTATTTCTCCCCCTCGTCCTCCTCGTCCTCCTGCCTATCCCCCTCCTTCTTCCTTTTCACAGTGTTCCCCCAGGGGGTTCAAAAACAGCTGGGGGAGCACATAGTACAATAGCTTGGCCAGACCTCGGCGCAACGTTTGGCCGTGTGCAGGGGGCGGCGATGGTTCGCCGCAGGCGTCTTCGATACCCTGATTCTTTAGGGCTCAGGATTCAGTTTTGAAAAGGCATGAGGATTCGCCAGCTCGATCAGGGGGAGGAGGAGGAGGAGGAGGAGGAGGAGGAGGAGGAGGACGACGACGACGAAGAGGAGGGGGAGGAGGGGAAGGAGGCTCAAGAGGTTCTAGCTATGAGAGCACAAGCAAGTTACCCGCGAGCCCTCTCGACGAAAAGATGCATCAGCACACTCTCCCAGTGAGACAGTCAACACGACAGCTTGACCCCCGTCGTAGGTTGCGTCTTTTCTTTCTTTCAGACTCCAGCTCGAGTTCATGGACTGCCTGTGCTAAACTTCTCCGGAGACGACTCGGCAACGCTTTGTGCTAAGACAAGTGGAGGGGCGAGGAGGGGGCGCGGGGAGAGGACCGGCAGAAGAGAGAGGGGAGGGAAGGGCGCTCAGAAGGGCTTTGATACCCGAAGAGCTTGGAGGAGCTGTTTCGAAGAGAGTGGACTACTCCAGATTTCGTAATAAAGGGAGGGGGTCTCATTTCGGGGGGGGGGGGTCTCTTCCAGGCTATCTTGGAGGGCCTGGGGGGTCTGGGGACGATGTTTTGGAGGGTTCTCCCACGGGGGAGGTCTGAAATGGCCTGTCTTGGAGGGTCCAGACCCCCTCCCTTTTATCACGAAATCTGGACTACAGAGACCGGATCTTGGGGCCAGGGCACTGGGCACAACATGACCAACGCGCTGTGCAGAAGATGTATGGACCGACCCGCTCCGCAGCATGCCCGGCATGGCCTAAGGAAATGCAACATTCCAACTCCCCCTCCCCCTTCCCGAGGCCCAGACTCCGAGCGCAGTCCTTGCACGGGATCCTGCAGACCCCCACCGCTGCCCTGGAGACCGGGAACCCCGCGGCCCCGGACACCGCCGCCCGAGGGGTCTGGGACGCGTGCAGGCTCCCTGGGGCAAATGCCAGCCTGGCGCAAACGCGGCATTGGCGAAGAAATCTTCCCGCATGCTTCCAAGTCACCGCTCAACAGGCTGGGCTCCCCTGTCTAAGAACTCGGGCAGAGCAAGGTGCGCTGGTACCCACTCGAACACGGGAGGTCTCCAATCCTGCCGATCTTCGGCACCATGGAAAGTCCGACGCCAGATACCAGCGTGCGCCCCACAGGCCGACGTATGCTCCGTAGACCATTCGGCACCCTCCCTCACAGTCGCCATGAGGTCCGAAACCGTCAGGCCTAGGGGGCATCAGTCCTGACAGTCGCTGCGGGACCGGGGCGACCGTCGCATCCAAGATTCCGTTGCCGATGTCTGTCGGCGGGCGCCGCTCAACCCCTCAGGGCAGCCCGGCGTCCTCGATCTTTCGCGCGGCGGTTGCACGACGACGGCGGGCGCACCGCCGAACCCCTCGGGACAGCGGAAGCCCCGCAGCCGACGTCCCCGCAGCTCCCAGGGCGGCCGCCGAGCTGCACGCGCCCGGGCAGCGGTCCGCACGCAGCGCGCGCGGGAAGGCACCCGCCTTCTGAGCCGGGCCGCCGACCGCCCGCAACTCCGCAGCTCCTCCTCCTCCTCCTCCTCCTCCTCCTCTACCCCGCCTCATCTACTACCCCTCCTCCTCCTCCTCCTCCTCCCCTCCTCCTCCTCCTCCTCCCCCTCCTCCCCCTCCCCCTCCAGCCCGTCAGAGAAAGCAGCAGGGCGCCAGGGCTCGAGGATCGGAGTTCCGGTCACAGCAGAGCGAGGCAGGGAGGGGGGAAGGGAGGGCTCGGGAAGGGAGGGCTCGGAGGCGGCTTCGGAGCCTGGGGAGGAGGTCCAGCAAGAGAGCCTGAGCAGGGGTGAAACTGGTCCTGGCCAAGGACGTTCGCAGCAGGCTCACTCAGGCGGTCACGCGTGTTGCTCCAGGAGTCCTCGCTCCAGGCAGACAAGCAGACAGGCATGCCTCGAGCGTCATCTTGTTCAAGCAAATTCGGACAAGCATAGAGGAGGGGAAGGAGGTGAAGGAGGAGGGAGACGAGGGGAAGGGGAGGGAGGAGGAGGAGGACGGGGAGGATGAGGGGGAAGAGGATGGGGACGGGGAGGAGGGGGAGGAGGAGCATGGGGACGAGGAGGAGGGGGAGGGGGGGAACGACGAGGGGGAGGGGGGGGAGCTTCGGGGCGACGGCGACGACGAGGGCGGCTTCGGCGGCGACCGCGGCAAGGTGCTGATGTACTCGGGCGTGTGCTCGCCCGAGGGCCTCGCCGCCTTCGGCTCACGCCTCGCGGCGGCGGCCCCGGCCACGGAGTTGCCGAGGGTGCGGGCGGACAAGATCGGCGCCACGCGCACGGCGGCGCCCTCGGCAGCCCTCAGCGGCCTCCTTCGGCGGCTCTCGGCGGCGTCGTCGGCGTGCGCCGTCGGCCGCCGAGGACTGCGGCGGCGGGCCCGCCCGCGGCGGAGGAGGGGAGCCGTGGGTGCTGGCCAGCGCGTCGGGCAACCGAGTGCCGCCTCGGTGCTCCAGGTGATCCATGGCGGTGTGCGGCTGCTCCTGGGCCCGCCCGCGCTCGGCGGCACGGTGGCCTCGCAAGGGGGCGCACCTGGGCGGTCCATAGGGGTGCTGGAGGGCTCTGGCCTCCCCCCCGCCCTCAGCGGCACGATCGCCCTGGAAGGGGGCGTTCGGAGGCTCTGGGCCCTCCCAGCCCCCGGTGGCTCGAACGCCACGGATCGGGGCTGGTTCTGAGCGGTCCATGGGGGCGCGCGGGGGCTCGGAGCCGCCCCGCGCTCGGCGGCACGAAACGGGGGGTCGTCGCGGTCGTCATCGTCGTCGGCGGCGTCGTCGCCTCCGCTGCCGCCGCCGCTGCGGCCGCCGCCGCCACCGCCGCCGTCGTCGTCGTCGACGTCGTCGTCGTCGTCCTTGTCGTTGTCGTCGTCGTCGTCGTCGTCGTCGTCGTCGTCGTCGTCGTCGTCGTCGTCGTCGTCGTCGTCGTCGTCGTCGTCATCGTCGTGGTGTCGTCATCGTCGCCGCCTCCGCTTCCGCCGCCGTCGTCGTCGTCGTCGTTGTCGTCGTCGTTCCTCGTCCTCGTCCTCGTCGTCGTGTTGTGTCATGCAAGGTCATGCAAGTGTCGGCGCGCTCGTCGCACGCCTGGTGAGGCGCAGGGGCGCCGCGGCCTCGGAAGGCACGGCACAGCACGCACGCCGGGCCCCGCCCATGTCGGTGCACCGCTCGCGCGCTCCTTGCCCTTGCAAGTGGGGTCTCCGGCTGCAGCCCCAGCGGCCCGGAGTGCACCCTTCGCACGCTCTGGTGCCTGACGGGTGGCCCCTCTGCGGCCCACAGTTGGCACCAGCGCACCATCAGGGCGGGACCCATCGTGGCGGACCCCACGTGACCCCACCCCATCGCACGCCTCGTGCCCTCCCCCGTCACCTCCGTCTCCTCATCCTCCTCCCTCCTCGGTCTTCTCCGCATTCACTCGCCCTCCCTCGGGCATGGTCCCGCTTGCTCCTCCTCCTCCTCCTCATCATCCTCCATCTCCTCCTCCTCCTCCTCCTCCTCCTCCTCCTCCTCCTCCTCCTCCTCCTCCATTCCTTGTCCTCATGAATAATTCCTTCATGTCGCACCCCGAGGCCCGTCGGCATGGCGGGCCGGGCGTTTCGCCCGAGGCTACTTCATCATGTATGAGCTTGAAGCTGAAAAACTGGCAAGAGCTTCACAGATGGAGGGTGGATGGTCTTCAGAATGTGGCTCTCGCCTTAGCGCCGTGCAAACTCGTTGAAGTCATTTCCAAGAGCTTCGCAGATTGCGGGCGGGTGGTTTTCAAAACGTGGCTCTCGTCTTAGCGCCGCGCACATTCGTTGTAAAACATTGCAAGGGCTTCACGGATTGAGGGCGGGTGGTTTTCAACATACGGGTCTCGCCTTGGCGCTGGGCACATTCGTTTTTTCAATTGCGAGAGCTTCACGGATTGAGGGCGGGTGGTTTTCAAATTGTGGTTCTCGCCTTAGCGCTGCGCACATTCGTTGTAAGTACGTTGGTTCTCAGTGTTGAAGTCCCCGACATGGTGTCCTTGCACGGTTCAAGATCGTCACGACGCAACAGTCAAAGTGATTCGCGGCGTTGAAGTCTTGAGCATCGTCTTTTGGCACGCTACGGGATTTTCACACGTTTGTCCCCAAACAGGGCAATTCCTTCCGTGGAAATGAACTCTTGTGGGGGCGCATGAAGAGGGAGCTTGGAGGGAGGTAGTATTGCAACATCGTTGACGAGCCTTGGGTTTTCACTGGTCTTCTTGCTCCTCCTCCTCCTCCTCCTCGTCATCATCATCATCATCATCATCATCATCATCATCATCATCATCATCATCATCATCATCATCATCAGCATCAGCATCAGCATCAGCATCATCATCCTCATCCTCATCCTCATCCTCATCCTCATCCTCGCCCTGCACAGGGGCAGAAGTCAGGAGCGACAAAAAGGACGTACAGGTACATGAATCCACGTTGGTTTCGAAAGTATGCACTGCGCGAACGTTCGTATCATGAGGCTGGTCTCGCGGTCTGGGGGCCGTATTCGTGTACGTGGTTGGACGCGCACGTCTTTTAAAAAGGTTCTCTAAAGAAGTCCTCCTCCTCCTCCTCCTCCTCCTCCTCCTCGTCTTCTTCCTCGACTTCTGCTCGAGGCCGACAGAAGCTTGCCCGAGTGCCGCCGCCCCACCCAGGAGGACCAGATGGCTGACCCAGGCGGCGCTTCCAGGGCCCCCCCCGCGGGGGCGCGACGGCAGCGCCGCGCTCGCCGTAAGGGGGGGGGGGGGGGGGGGGGCGGCGCGTGGGCGCGTGGACAGGCGCGCGTCGCGCACCGAGGCGGTGCTCCCTGGGCCGCCCGCGGGGGCGCGAAGACAGCCGCGCGCTCGCTGCCAGAGGGGGGCAGGAGAGCGAGCCAGAGAGGGAGGAGGAGGAGGAGGAGGAGGAGGAGGAGGAGGAGGAGGAGGAGGAGAGTAGGAGGAGGAGGAGGAGGAGGAGGAGAGGAGGAAGGAGGAGGAGGAGGAGGAGGAGAGGAGGCGAGGAGGAGGGAGGAGAGGAGGAGGAAGGAGGAGGATGAGGAGGAGGAGGAGGGGGAGGAGGGGGAAGGAGGGGAGGAGGGGGAGGAGGGAGGAGGAGGAGGAGGAGGAGGAGAGGAGGAGGAGAGAGGAGGAGGAGGAGGAGGAGGAGGAGGAGGAGGAGGAGAGGAGGAGGAGGAGGAGGAGGAGGGGGAGGGGGAGGGTGGAGGGGGAGGGGGAGGAGGGGGCTGAGGAGGAGGGGGAGGAGGGGGGAGGAGGAGGGGAGAAGAACCAGCCGCAGAGAAGGAGGAGGAGGAGGAGGAGGAGGCGGAGCCCTCCCTCCCCCCCGCGCTGGGCCGCCCGCGCTGGGCCGCCCTCGGGGGGGGCGCGTGGGCAGGCGCGCGTCGCGCCTGGCGGGGCGCGGGGCGCGAGGCTGCGTGGCCGGGGCGGCGTCGTGGCCGACGCAGCGGGCAGCGGCACGGCCAGCTGGCCGGCTCTTCGCGCGGTTGCGGGCCGCGCCGCCTTGTTTTGCCGCGGGCGGATTCTATACAGTCGGGGCCCTGAAGAAGGAACCCGTTTCGTTGGGGAGGGGCTCCGCGTTCCTTACGTGTTTCACAGCTTGCCTCAGGTGTTCCTTCTGTATTCGATCGGGAATCGAAGCTTAACTTATGGAAAAAAGGGGCCTCGTTCCTTATTTAGGGTTCCTTAGGTCAACGCCCCGACTGTAGGCTTACGCCACAGCCGTCGGCCCCTCCATAAACTGCTGCGCGGATGCGGACATGTAGCAAGAGTGCGTCAAGGTCAGGGTAGTGCGTGGCACGCTCTGGGATGTCCGTTGGGACCTCGTGGCGAGGATTCTCGCGGGCCTCTCCGAGGCAGTTTCGCAGGGTCTTGGGGGCCGTGTTGGGGCTTCTTTGGGGGCCTCGTGAGGTCTCCTTGGGGCCTCTTGGGTGCCTCATGCGGGCCGCGCCTCCTTGTTTGCCGCTGGCTGATTAGAGGTGCTCTGCACGTTCCCTGGCTGGAGCCATGTCGGGGTCGACGGTGGAGGGGGAGACAAGGCGAAGGCAGGACCCGGGCAACTGGTGGTCCAACCTGACGGGTGAGGCCAGCGAGCACGGGGAATGTTGCTGGCAGCTTGAGCGCGCGACTCGGGGAAGCTTGCGGGACCTGTAGTCCAAAGGGAACATTTTAAGACCCGCGTTAGCACGAAGGTGTACTGCACTACTTGCCGCTCGAAGATGCAAGGCGTAGAGCACTTAGGCCCACAACGTCGAACCTCGGGGCAACTAGAGTGCGGGAGGAGGCCCTGTGGATAAGCCCAGGGGCAGTAATATCTCCGTGCAGTCTTTACGTGTAGCCAGTTGCCATTCCGTCGAGGATAAAAGAGGTGGAACGGGGAGGGGAAAGGGGGGAGGGAGCGCTTGGGAGGGAGAGAGAGGAAGATGAGGACCAGCAGCAACAGCGAGGCGCAGGAGCGTCGCGCCGCCGCCGCCGCCGCCGCCGCCGCCGCCTGCGCCGCCGTCGCTGCCTTCGCCATCGCCGCCGTGGCCGCCTCCATCGCCGCCGCAACCGCCGCCGTCGCTGCCGCAGTCGCCGCCGTCGCTGCTGCTGCCGCCGCCATCGCCGCCGTCGCTGCCGCGGCCGCCGCCGCCGCCGTCGCCGCCGTCGCCGCCGCCTTCGTCCGCCGCTGGGGCCGCCGAGGCCACGCTCTGAGGACGCGGCCGAGGCGGCGGCGGCGGGGAGGCGGCGGGCGCCTGCGCCGCAGGGCCCGCGCCGGAGAGCGCGGGCAGCGAGGGCGCAGAGCGAGGGGCGGTGGCCTCGCGGGGGGCCAGGCCAGGCCACGCGGGCGCAGGGGGGGCCGCAGGCCGGCGCTCGCCGAGGAGCGGGGAGCGGACGCTGAGCTCTTCGGGCTGCACGCAAGAAGGGCCGGCCCTCCGCCAGAGTGACCCGTGGCGCGGGCCCACGGGGGTCCCCCGATCGCCGAGCGCGGTGCGAAAGTGGCGTCTTGCGCCCTGGTGTCCGGCCCCCCCCGCGGCCCCCGAGCAGCCGCGCTCCAAAGGTCACTCTCACCCGGGGTCACTCTTGCGTGCGGCCGGGATCTGGGCGGTGCAATTTTGCCACGCCGGGCGTTATCGCCCGGCTTCGGGCCCCAGGACCACCGCAGATCGAGCCGGCTCGGAAAATGCTGCAGAAAGATTGGGTCTAAGGTTTTGGTCGTGGCTTTGTCCACGATGCTCTATTTGTTGTGCATTGTCGGATCTCGGGGGATCTCGGGGGAGGGCGTTAGGCCGGCGCCTTCCGATGAAATCCGACGTTGCGAAAGCGTTGCAGCATCGCGGAAAATCGCGAGACCCTTATCCTTCTGTGGCATTTTGCGAGCCAGATCGATCTGCGAGGGTCCCGGGGCCCAGAACGCGGGGCAAAATCGCCAGCTTATGATTGTGATTTTTGATTTTGTTGGATTTTTTTGCTCTTTTTGTGATTGATTGTTGTGATGTGTGTGTTGTGTTGATTTTGATGTGTGATTGTTGTGGGTGTGTGGGCAAAATCGCCAGCTGATACACAAATGCAGCGCCCGGATCTCAGGGGAGGCGGAGCGGACGCACGTGCCCGTCCCCACCGCCCGCCAGACAGCTGCCTTCCCTGGCCTCTCGGGCGCGCTGCGGCCTTGGAGAGGCTCGGGTGGGAAGGACCCCCGCTGCTGCTGCGGGGGGCGGAGGGGGCGGGGGTCCTTTTATGGCGCGCTCTCTTTGACTGCAGTCAAGGCCAGTCCGCGATCGGCGTGTGTCGGGGGTGGACAGAAACCCCACCCTGACACGTCGATCGGTGAATTGTCCGTTTGCGGCGCTCGAGAGGGCGCCGCGGCCGTCATTGTCCAAGCTTGCGCCCGCCAGGTTTGGGCCCGAGGTCGTTTTCACTAAACCACGTTTTGCTAAAGGGGGCTCTGTCCATCCCTGAGTGTGGCGCACTGAGCGCAGCCAGAGCTGCTCTGGCTGCGATCAGTGCGCCTCCCTGAGCACTGGACGACCTGCTGCGCGGCAGCAGGGCGGCAGCAGGGCGTCGAGCGCTGAGGGAGGGAGACTGCCAAGTCGGGGGCCAAAGTCCTGCTGCTGCTGGTCCGCCTCCTATTTCCTCCTCCTTTGCGCCTTTGCTGTCGGGCTCTTGCTCCTCCTCCTCCTCCTCCTCCTCGTCCTCCTCCTCCTCGTCCTCCTCTTTCCCTCCCCCTCTCTAGAAGGGGGAGAAGGGGCGGACGAGGAATGAGGGGTAGTTAGGGGGCGAGGATGTTGGTCTTGCTCATCTGTCCATGGTGGGCCGAAGGGCATTGAGCGTGAGTCAGGCTGAGGTAGCACGGAGCGCACATGTCTGCGCGGTGCGCTGGCATTTTCGCCGTCGGTTGAATTGACCATTCCTGCTTCAGCCATCGTATTCTTCCAACAGTGCGTAATCAGCTTCGTGTGAGTCTACGACTGGACGAGCATCTGGCATACACGTATCTATCTGCACAGTGCTCAAGGGTGTTCGAGCATTCAGCCGTTGTCCCAGTTCAGAGGCACGAGCTCGTGACTTTGTCAGTTAAGCAATGGACGCCCGAGACCTATATCACACTAAGGCAACTGGCATCGTCGCCATCATCAGTCTCGTCGAGGTTATCGCTTGAAAAATTACATATCGCGCGTACACATCGGCACTATCGTTATCATCGTCAGTCATAGCGCATATCACTGAATCACATCATCGTCATTACCACGTGCTGCGCACCTCATTGCGCTCATCACCGTGATCATGACCCTCATCCTCAACCTCCTTCCTCGTGCGCACACTCGTCCTCCTCGCGGACCTCCTCCGCCGCCGCCGCCGCCGCCTCCACTTCCTCCTTCTCCTCCTCCACCTAAGGTGGTTGTCATGCGCACTGCGCGTCATTTCCCCTGCAGCGTCGTATCCTCCTCCTCCTCCTCCTCCTCCTCCTCCTCCTCCTCCTCCTCCTCCTCCCCGAGCACATCCAGCACCCCCAGCGATCAGCCCCGCGATTCATGCCTGCACCCCCCAACCCCCTGGCCGGATTTCTTTTCTTCTTTCCGCGGGGGGTCAATCTTCACGGCGACCCGTTAAACCTGGGACCCCTGGCGGCGCATGGATTTCGTTCCTTCTTCCGCGCGCGTGTTGCCATTGGAACCCCTGAACCCCTCCGACTACCGTACAACTAGTACTTGAATACGACTGGCACTATCATGTATTAGCGCGCAGTTGCTCCTAGAGAGCACACTGTCCCAGTACAACTCCCTGGCGCAACTCCGTAGTGCAACTCCCTAGTACAATGTCCTTAGTACAGCTCCCTGGAACACGTGGTACTAGTACAACTCCCTATTGCAACTCCCTAGTACAACCTCCTAGTATTAGTACAGCTCCCTAGTGCATCTCCCTAGTACAACTCCCCAGTGCAACTCCCTAGTGCAATTCCATTCGTGCAATTCCCTGTGCAACTCCCTAGTACTAGTCCAACTCCCTAGTACAACTCCTAGTAGGACTCCCTGGTGCAACTCCCTAGTGCAACCACTATTAGAGTGCTGCACTTACAATCTGGGCTCTCACGCTTTTCCTCCTCAAGTTGCGCTGGGGGGGGTGAGACCCCTCGCGCGGGCACCCCCGCGGCTGAGAATTCATTCCTCTTCCAGAATCCGAGGCGGGGGTAACCCCCGTGCTCGAACCCCTCGCCAGGGATTTTTTCTCTCCTCCGCGGAAACTGGACCCCCTGGGTTCCTGGCGCGCCTCAGAAGTTCTTTGGATGGGCCCCCATGGGTCCTTCGTTGGAGTCGCGGGGCTGATCCCCAGCGCCACCTCTTGATCCCCCTGGGAAGCCCTCCCTGTCCTCATCGCCTCCTCCCCCCTCGCATCGCTCACAGCCGTTTTGGCTCCAGCGCGGATCCTGTGTCCCAAACCTCGCAGGCTGCCAGGCACCACACCGCTCATCGGCGGCGCGCCGAGGGGGGGAGTGATAGGGATCATGCCTTCTCAGAAGGCGACGGGGCTTCCTGGGAGCCCCCCCCCCGGCCTTCTGAGAAACCTCCTGTGGCTTCGGAGAGGGCTCAGAAAGTTTCCCAGAAGATCTGAGGCCTTCTGAGCTTTCTGAGAAGGCCGGGCGGACTCCTCTGCTGGTGGTTTTCGGGTCATAACTTGGGCGTCTGGCGGCCGTGCGGGACGATCGGGGCACCCCTGGAAAGCCCTCAACGAGGCGCAAGTGCCGAAGAGCGCTCCCCGAGGCGAGAAATCCTCCGAGAGCCAAGGGGAACTTCCTCCCCCCTCACCCTGCCCTGAGATCCGACGACGCGGAAAAAATGGCAACATCGTGAAACATTGGGACCAGAGCCCCAGACTCAGCCAGATCGATCTGTGAGGGTCCCAGGGCCCGAACAGAGGGGGCCAAACCGCAGGACCCGAAACGAAATGCCACGCTCGGATCTCAAGGTTCGACGACGAAGCTCAGCCATGCGCAGATGCGGGGTGGGGGGGCGGGGAGAGGCTCTCAGAAGCTACCAGTGCTTACAGAACGGCGCAGGCTCAGGACGTAAGGGCCGGCGCCTTCTAAGAAGCAGCCTCCTTCCGAGAAGGCCTCCCACATCCCCCCACCCCCCTTTGTGCGCGACGAAAAAAGGGCCTCTCAGCATCCGGGGAGAGGAGGGGGGCTTCGGGGCGGGCGGTGGGCCAGCGGCGGGTTCCGCGCAGAAGCGCTGCGGCAGCGGAGCGGGGGCGGGGGCAGGGGGCGGAAGGCGGGGGCGGGGGCGGAGGGCGGGGGCGGGGGGCGGAGGCGGAGGCAGAGGCGGAAGGCGGAGGCCACGAAGCCGCCCTGCCCAACCCCCCCCCCCCTGGGGCGCGCCGCCGAGCTCGGCCATGCGCGCCACCGCCCGCGCCTGTGCCGCCGCCGGCCTGGCCCTCTGGGCCCTCCGGAGCAGCACGGCCTTCGTGGCGCCCGGCGCGGCGGGGCGCGGCAGGGCCTCGAGGACGGCGGCCAGGCACTCAGAGGAGGAGGAGGAGGAGGAGGAGGAGGAGGAGGAGGAGGAGGAGGAGGAGGAGGAGGAAGAGGAGGAGGAGGAGGAGGAGGAGGAGGAGGAGGAGGATACGACGCTGCAGGAGAAATGTCGCGCAGTGCGCATGAGAATCACCTTAGGAGGAGGAGGAGGAGGAGGAGGAGGAGGAGGAGGAGGAGGAAGAGGAGGAGGAGGAGGAGCAGGAGGAGGAGGAGGAGGAGGAGGAGGATGAGGAGGTGCGGGCCCGTACCTGGGCAGGCCTTAGGGTGATGAGCCTCAGGGCTCGACCTAAGCGGCGTTTGGACGCTTGCTTGGAACTTTGTTGTGCCGACTGCGTTTTGCAGCAAAAAGGCGGGACGAAGGCCCCGCTAGCGCCTCGCGGGCGGGCCGCACGGCCGAGGATCGCAGCTCACCTGGCAGGCCCAGGACTCGGAGGAGGACTACTTTTCCCTCGTTTTCGCCTTTTGAGGCCTCCTTGGAGGCCCTCGTCGCCACCGCTGGATTTGCCTCGAAGTTCTGGTCGGAACGCACCCTGGAAGGGGTCCGGGGTGTACCGGTATCGGTATCTTTTGGTCCCCACAGGTACACCACGCAGACAATCCTGCCCGCGCTCGCGTGGATAAAGACGGGCTTCAAGGAATCGAGGGAGAGCGAGCGGGGGTGTTGGGGGGAGGGGGAGGGATGGGTGGG